CTTAGGCAGCATAGCAAAGAGTTTGGCATTGGGAATCTCACTACTACAGTTGACTCAGTTGCTCACTCCGCTGTTTGGAAAGGCAGACAGGCTAGTGCCATCCTAAATGGCTGCGTGGCAGTCGGCTGTCTGGCGACGACGGCAAACATCTCCTTGCAGCTCTCTGGATTTTTATTGGCCTATCGACCGTCTGCCGAGAGACAAAGCAACTTGGCAAGCGAGCCCACTTTTCCTCGGAGCAAAATGAACGTTACTCCACAAGGGGGAAGAAGTAGGAGCGAGGGGAGTGAAGAGAAGGAGAGTGTGGAATCCTGGTGCGGGGGGAACTTTGTGCCAGTCATCTTACCCAGTTTACGAAAACAATTGCCCTTCTTCTCCACATGCTAACATGCGGGGGGGGAGTGCGGTATCAGACTGGCTCCAATCAATCCTTTCTCTGAACACACCTAGTCACGAGTTCGATGCAAATGAAGAGACGGTGGTAAACAAACCAGTAGCAGCGGCACACCAAACACAAAATCTTGCCTTCCTGAACGGATCAGGCGGGGATTTGGATTAGGAACTGTGGCAGATTATTGCATTGTCGCGCCTGCACGTGTTCACCACATCAGACAGAAAATTTAAACAACAGCAGAGTCACCAGTACGAATGCCAAATATGGCAGTCTCGGTGACTTAAAATTAGTCAACGTTTCATGGATTTTATTTTGAAAAAAACTGTTTATTTGCAAATCGTTTCAACTGACTTCTGTCAGAGAAATTTTCAACTAGTAGCGGTGGTATTCAGATTCGCGAGAGTTTGGTTGGCCTTTGTTGTACTTTTATTCCTCCAAAACACTGTCATAATTTTAATTACTACACAAATTTCTATGCTGATTCTATTTGTTGCGTATTTACCTAACTTGTTTAACTTCTACGCACTGCACTTCAGCTAGTGTGAGTCACGCTATTAATAGCTACTATCTGACTCACAGTCTTTGTTCTTCACTGGCCGCTGTAGGCAGCCGAGTTAGTTATAGCGCAACTATCTCGCTCGGTTCGGCTTGTCATAACTTGTTCTTACCGTGGGCTCGCATTATCGATCGCTTCTACTCGCTTACAGAGAACCACAACCGAATTCACGTTATATTCGGCCGGTTGTCAGAACTTGTACGAATTCCACTACACGCCCTGACAAACATGCGCACAAATTTAACTTCATTTACTCATTTTCTAGGGAATCGCATATTCTACCTTGTGACTCAGTTGGCAAGGTTTTCTGTTCTTATTTTACAGGCATTTAACTATTTGTGGGATATTCACATTTAACGATAGACTGCTTCGTATCCGACAAAATGCATGCTGAAATCAAAATGGCGCTTGTTGGCCCAGTCCAGTCCACAATGCCGGAATCATAACTCTTCAGTAGACTAGTTTGAGGCGTGTAGCGAAAGTCACGGCTACTAAGGCCTGAACTTTGATCTCAGGCCCTGAAAGCCACGAGAGTGTGGATTGTCACGCTGGTAACAACACTCGGAGCACCAGCGCGCCGAACGCACTTTGACTTCCGACTTGAAAAAAAAACGAAAAAGAATGAGGAGTACAAAGGACACGAACAACATTTAAGCCCTCGGTCTCCTTAAAAAACCCGCTAAAATGAACTCTGGCTGAAGGAACGAGTGACGACTGATTGTACGCTTCGGGTACAGCAAGTTAACTAAGCGAAAATAAGGCAAACCATCTACGATATGCATTATGACCTATAAGAAGACAGAAAGGCAACTGTAGCTTATGTAGCCCCACTCAGTAATCCCTACAACCTGCATATTTTCCCACGAAAACGGTGGTTATCGGGTTTTATGGGCCGGAATTAGGACACGCAGAGGAATATACTTTAATAAATGCTACATGCTTC